CGAAGGTCGAAGAAGGGAAGACTTACCTTAGTGGAAGGGTAGGCCCCACAATGATGACCGCAATTCGCAGCGAAGGGTGTGCCCCGGCGATCTAGGACCTATGTCAGACTTTGCATCCAGCGGTTCGCTAGCGAATTGCGGGCGCGAGCGTTGCCAGCGAATTGAACGATGCACAAGCAACTCAGTCGGGTTTAAAGGTGGCGAGAACTCCTCTCTTTCACACCTTGGCTCCCACCATTTCCCGGGCTCTCGTGTCTACGTGAGCCTAGAAAAGTGACCCCTATGTCGGATGAGATGGTGTCTCCGCCACTTTTCAAACATCGCCGAGTCGCTAGTATATCGTTCGATTATTGATACATCATTCAATCCGGCGGTGCAAACCCCTTTACCAGTGTCCGACACCAGCCCAACCCTCCCTGCGGCGTTATCGTCGCGGTACCCCCACTAGCTGACTTCGCGGTACTAACTGTCTGAAAACCAACTGACTAAAAACTCGCCGCAGTTCTCTAGCCGCTCAGCAGAGAGTGCGTCAACGTTAAAGGGGGCAGCACCGATAAGCCGCATCACTGCTGAAATAAAGGTGTCTCATTTTTGGATACTGCACCGTTTTTTATGGTGTTTTCTTCATCCTGACCCAACTGACTACCTCGCTTTGATTCTTTATTCTTATTCTACCTTCTGACCCTAAACTTCGCTTTGAGAATGTACGCAGCGCGCCACCCGGCCCCGAGGCCCTGTTCAGGAAGGAACATCATGAGCCATGTCCCGCACCTATCCACGCTCTCTCTCCTTCAACTCTTTTCTCAGTCCTCGATGCACACTGTCTTCCACCTAATTGTTTGTGTCCTACGAATGCGAAAAGTGAAACTTATTCTTGGCGCAGTCGGTGGCTTCTTTTCCTTTATTCTCCGCTCGGTTCAATTCGCCCCTTTACCCTCATTCTCAAACGAAATAATCTTTTCGTTTTTATTTAAGTGTGTACTTAATATTGCAAAAAAAAGGAGAGGGAAGGCAAAACGTGAAGTAGCGACAAGCACTCACCGCAGCACCTGTGATGACGTATGTAGGAGCTAGTGCGTCGTGGTAGCAGTCGGTCTGAATAGATATTATCATACGTTGTCCGTCAAAAAATGTAGAAGACCTACCGATTTCAAGTACAACATATCTGCCACTGGGTAAAAGCGTTCATAATAATGAACGTGTCCCCAGAATCCCAAATCCACATCATACTGAAGAAAAGGCTTCTCGAGGCCGGGCATGTCATCGTAGCCATTCCGAATCTCAAATGAAGAGTGTTATAGGTATGCAGCAATGCCGGCAAATAAAAACACTCAAACGTTGTTTATATTACACTT